CCTAAATTTTCCCCCAAGAAAGGATTTAAACTTGATGTGCACTGAGGAACAAGTAGATACTGGTATATTGATGTGTTTTGGGAACCTTTGCTCCTGTTCCTGAGACACACTATGTAAGAGTGTGCACAGGCTCCTGAAGCAAATGGTTGGATGTGCAGCCCTGTGCAAGCTTTAGCTCCTTAAGCTTCACTACTCAGTTTCTTGCTCGGTGTGGAACTGGTGAGGCTGTAGTAGCTGACTGCTTAATTTCAGGCAAATTTGACAGAGAGGTTATGGTCCAAAACATGGTAATTTGGGGGAAATTTCTCAAGAATAGGTGACTGGAGAGCAGAGAAAAAGACTTTCACCAGGACCTCCATTGCGGAATAAGTTTGTAGGGGGAGATTTTGCACTGGTAAAGCTAAGAATCCACAGGTGAATTCATCCATGAGCTAAAAGTGCAAGCTCTATTGGTTTTGCTGCTCTCAAGACTATCTTTATGATGACCATTTTCTTATGCTCTTTTCTTTCCCTTGAATCCAAGTGTCATAACAATCTGTACTGATCTCATTTCTTTACAGCATGGCACACGTGGCAGCAAAGAAGAGTATATAGAACTTATGTAACTTGTGTACTAGTTCTTTACCAGGTTGAGCAAATGATTGCTTATACTTAACTCCCTTCACTGAATTACTTATCCTCTGTCTTCTGGAAATGTGTTAGGATGATCATCGCCATCTCAACCAGTTCATTGCCCACGCTGCTCTTGACCTAGTAGATGAGAACATGTGGCTTTCTAACAACATGTATCTGAAGACTGTGGACAAGTTTAATGAATGGTTTGTTTCTGCTTTTGTCACGGCTGGACATATCCTTTCCTCTTCTCTTTCTGAGTATTTACTGAGGCTTTTGTCAGAAAGTGATAAACCAGTTGGAATGACTTTGGAATGGATTTCTCTGGCCGTTCACCATTATTATTGTCAGAATTCCCAGCCTGAAGTGGAGATGAAGGATGAAGTGAGTTAGGGGGCACAGCAGTTATTTAAAATTGGAAATAGCTGGAGATGGATTTTTCTTCTTGGAGGACCTGAATGAAATGTGAAGTTCATGAGGAGTAGAGGAAAAAGGAATGAAAGCACGTTTATTTGAAGGGCTCTGAGCAGGCCTGTATGATTGTCTGCTTACATTCCTTTGGTAATGTTAGAAGAAGAGAAGAGATAAAAGTACTTGATGTCAGTTGTGCACATACTGAAAATGCAGTGTCGTGGCTTGATGGTCTGTGCAGATGGTCGCAAAGAGAACGCATTGTGAAACATTTGTTATGCATAGCAAGTAACATTTTAATTTCAGGGATGTATGGAAAAGATTCTGAGAATATCCCTGATGTTACAAATTTTCTAGCTTTAAAAATAATGATCTTCCAAAGAAAGGTGATTCTGCTTTCACATATGGGAACTTCAAATAATGCTTTCTAAATATCATTGCTTCAGTTAATTCCTTAAACGTGCTTGTTTATTTCTAGTGTACAGCTAAAAATTTTAGGTATATAGAGAATTAGGTGCAAGTGCTTATTTTGGGATATGCTTTCATTGGGAAAGTTAAATTTTCCTTAATTGTTTTACATATGAGATTTATAATGCTTCATGACATAAGGCAAGAAGATGGAATAAAGAACTTCTTTAATGATGTATATGACTTGTATATAAAGGTAAGCTCCCATTTTTAAGTTTCACAGCAGTACCTCTCAATGTGCTATATTAATATATGTTTTGTTAGTGGTACCTTTGTGAGGGGAAGAGTTTCCCTACTGTCCACATGTGTGGGAACTGTGGAATGATGGCCTGAACCACTGATGGATCACCTGAGGCAAGGACTGGGTCAGCTGTGGTGAAAGCAATTCACCTGTGTGACTGGAACCAGACTGGAGCCAGGCTCCACCCCTCCTAGAGCCCATTTAAGGGCTGACTGCCACTGGGGAAGGATCTCTTTCTGGAGATCCCTCGTTTTTGGAGTTTTCCCCTGTGAGCCTAGATCCTTTGATATGAGTGAGCATTTCTTCTTTGATTGTCTCTTTTCCACCACGATCATCTTTCCAACTATAACACCTGTGAAGTACCATCCTAGCCACGCTACTCTTCCAGCTGTGTATTTTTTGACTGTACACCACATCAGCCAGAGTTGGTAACATGTGACATGGAGGCTGCATTTTCTATACAGTGTAATAGATTTTTCTAGTTTGCTATAGATTGTGCTCCTTCAGGATTTCGTTTTCATTTCAGTCCAGTCATTTTGGGCAGTGTTATTAATGGTGATGATGAAAGCAAAGGACTGTTACACAGCAGTCTGCTCAAAGTGCTTCTCTCTTCAGAACAAGTAGCAGTGTGTGTTGTCACAGCCCGGCTGGATCGCCACTAGATGGGGCAGTTGCAAGAGCTGAGACCATCTGAGATGCCTACGGGGACTCAAAGGATGTTAATTTCTACAATAGGCTTCCATCAGTGTCACGATAGATTTGTTCTTAGCTCTTACTAAGAGATGGCTGTGCACCCGTGTGTGGGAGAATGCAACAGCCTTCAAAGTCAGTGACTTCCTAGGAAGACTTCCCATGCTTTTCAATGGCACTAAATAGGCTGAAAGCTTATAGTTGTCACTTAAAATAACATTTCGTATTTCTGGGCATTGTGCTTATTGATGAGATTTTTTTCTTTCCACAGTTTGCAATGAACCCGTTTTATGAACTCAATTCACCAATTCGATCCAGTGCCTTCGAAAGGAAAGTGCAGTTTCTTGGGAAGAAGCACCTTTTGAGCTGAATAAATAACTTTCCTGAGTGAGTCCTTTTCCATGCTTCCCTGATTTGAACTGTAGTTCTGGGTAGTTCTCAGCATGCTGGATATCCATCTTCCTGAAGATTGACAAATTGGATGCTGAAGTAGCTTTTCTTCTTGTTGATACAGATAAAACAGCCAAGTTCTCTGGTTAAAAAATGTACCTTAAGGAGTTTGTCTTACAAAAACTAAGTGTAACAGTGTCTGGGCTGAATAGGTACAAAGTGAGGTATGTCAGCGCATGTGCGAAATGTAACTCTCTTACAGAGGGTGAGAGGACATCTGATCTAAACACTGAAGGCTTCTGAATCTCTTGTGAGTTGATTTAATATGAGCAAAAGGGTATTTTTTATTTTATTGGCCTGAGTGGATAAATCTGTTGTGAACTCTTCTACTTAGTCTTTTCCTAGAGAATGTACTCTGCAGGCTAACTGGACTCTTCATAGTATTAAATAAGGCATATATTAAACTTCAACATAATAGATGTATTATGAAGCCCTAAATTAAAAAAAAAAAAAAAAAAAAAAAAAGCTTTGTCTTCAGCATTTTGGCAAGTTGTACTTTAAAAAAAAAAAAAACTTCCAAGGTTTGTTTTTTAAGCTTAAGGTTGTAAATGTCTCATGTTTAGCACAACAGGTGCTTAGAGCTGCAGTGTTGCATGAATGAAATGCACAGAGCAGATCACAACAGCTGTCTGCACTGACTTCAAATCTAATTCACACATGGAAAAAAAAAAAAAACAAATCCAACAACTAAACTTAGGTGTTTAAATCCCCATCTGTCTATTATCTCTGCAAGTGCTAAAATACTCCTTTTGAAAGGGTATTTATTTCTACTGGGATCTTTGAACCTCCAGTAAGATTTCAGAAGGACGTTGCTGGGCCTCTTTGGCTACTATCTCATTCTAAAATGGGGTTATGTACTTTTTTTTTCTTTTCTTTTTTTGCAAAACTTCATTTTTAACTACTGATTTTTAAAGGGGTCATTCAGCATATATATACCTACTATTTTGGCTGGTTTCACAATCTTTTGTGGTTTCACAATTAGTTAGTCACAATCTTTTGTGAAATGTTTCTTTTCTGCAGAAGGTGTCTGATAAGCAATTTCCAAAGGAAGAGGCACACTATTCTAAATAAATAAATACATCTTGTGTAGTTTGTATGCTAAAGGGACCACAGATGTAGGCACTTTATGTACAACCAGTTATTATTTCTTTGTAACTTATATGTAATGCTGAAGCATCACTGTAAAATATTCCCTGTGAGAAGCAACACTGTGCAATATAGAATGTGATATTTACCTTAAATAAAAGGAGGACTGATGCAGCATGGATGTGTGTTGACTGTACTTTAAATGACTTTAAGAGAAGAGCAGATAAGTGGGGCAAGACTACTGGCAGGACATTAAGTGAAGGTGGGAATACTTGTCTTGGCAGTACTGTTTAATAACACCTGCATCATACAACATTTTGACAGTGTCATGTAATCTCACGTAAATTTTTTTAGACACATACATGAAATGAACAAACACCCTTGAAGCAAAGCATTCTTACTTACACAGTGGCCAAAACGTTACTAACAGGATCCCCTAATACTTAATCTGAAATGAGTCAGTGAATTGAAACATGTACCACAACTGCCCACCTTCATAATGAAAAGGAAATGTTAAGCCTTCACAAAAATGTGCATGTGTTGCTGAGTATGATGAAGATGTTTATTTTGGTACAATCCATATCTGCTTGTCCTACAGCTGCCACTTCTTCCAAGTACTTGGCAGTCTCTCTCACACCAAAGCCAACTTCTACATAGGCTGCAGTCTTATTCACTACAGCAAATAAACTTCCTATACCACTTTTGTAATTAGTGCACAGTTGTGGTAGAGCAGTTCTCACGGCGCACTACGCTTGCTGTATTAAATGGTGTTTAAACCTGCTTCTCATAAGGAGGCTGGGTAATCATGGCATTACATAGAAATGGTAGGAGAAACAAGAGAAAATAGAAATTGGCTATTAAGCACAAGAAAAACTACTACACCTGGTTTTCATCCTTATTTCCTTTTATAGATTTTATTATTAAAGTTTTAATTATAATACTCAAGAGGTAATTTCATCTATTTTATTTTAGTCTCACTTCTGCAAAAGTTAAGGTTCAAGGAAATTAAGGTTCAATCTAGCTTACCTTCTTTCCTCACATCTTTCCTTCACTCACTATAAATCTGAATATCACAGAAGCAGCAGGTCAGCCTGTATTTAGCAGTTCAGTGACTGAAACTTAAAACACAACTCTGTCACTGTATGTACAGGACTTTGAATGCAAAATTTGTCAAAATATCACCTTGCAGCAGGAGCAGCAGATCTGTGGAGTAAACATGGTTATAAACAGGTTCAAATGAGCATAGAAAACGTTGAGGAAAGCATATAAGAGCAACAAGAAGTTTGTTTTGCAAGCTTTACTTCTAAATAACATCTGGTACAAAGCAAACACGTTAAGACTCCTGCTGTTACTGTACTATCTAGAAAAGCTTCTCTATTACAACAAAAAGGTTGCAGTACAGAAAGCAGAGTCTGCATAATTTAGTGAGAAACACGGCCTGTCCTATAGGCCTCTGATTTCCTTCTGAGCTCTACAATGTGTACGCTAACAGGCATGCTTGTAGTCAGGTTACACATTGAAGCAATAGTGCATTATCAAGTTTGCTATTAAAAGGATATTGAGCACTCTTGAGAGACAGCTTTCAAGAACTTCTCATACAAGTATTCTACCATGGGACAGCAGTGGAGAGCTTCAAATGCACATCCTGTGGCTTCATCTGCAACACTGTAGAAAGATGATCCATTGAACATGGAACTTGTTTCTGCTCACCGTCAGTTAATGAGTTCAGTAATCCCAAAGTTTAAGTCTCTACCCTACGATGGCATATTAAACAAGCATCAAATTTGGCTCAAACATTAGTTATAGGTACCTACTTGTACTAGACTGGAAAGCTGTCACTACCTGCTAAGTCAAGAGCTTCCTGAGTTCCCTATGTATTGCAAATCCTTAATTTCACAGTACAGAGATCACAAACACATTCATAGCTCAGGTGAACAAGAACAATAAGGTCAGAACTTTAAGGCTGTATACTAAAAGCTTTCTTGAGGAGATCCACATTATGGTAGGTTACCAAGAGTTACTAAAGCTGACCAAATAAAGTACGTGTATCCATTTTCAGTTATGAAAAATACTTTGTTTATCCAGATTTTTTTTTTTACCCTATTGATCAGAAACATGCCAGAATGGGACATAAGGGGAAGACATTAAAAAAATAAATCACATTTTGCATTGAACTGCTGGAAAAATTCATATGGCATTAGAATAGTAAGTAAACAAAAGGAAGATGAACATTAAATAGGTAGGAAATTTATTTCCTACTTAAAAACCTACACAAATTATAGCAATTACAGAAAACTTGAAGGTAATTTATGTTAACTTGTAGTAAATGCATTAGAGATGAAGTTCCACACACATCCAAAGAAATGCAGCGAGACTAAAGTTTAATATCTAGCATTGTTAAGAAACTGAGTTCTAGTGAAACAAAATGGAATGCTAATTTCATAAAAATATATATACATATAAAAGTTTCTTTGTATCTGAATTCCAGAACAGTTTCCACGTAGTAGTGCTTCCAGAACTTCAAGTTTTAATTATATTCAAAGTATTTCTCATTTACAGTTGGCAAATTACATTCTTATATTAAGATTTTTACTTGACACCTTCCTGATAGGAAGTGTCACTAATTCAATAATGGGTCACTCGTGGATGGAAATCTGTTTTGCTCCTCCAGGAAAGCAGCAGAGTATCACAACTTCAGTATTAGAGCAGAACCCATCTGTTATTTTATCTACATCTTTCCCATCCTCTTACAGAGTAAGCTAGTTGAAAGTAATTTGGCAAAAAAGAAAAAAGTCAAGTCAACAACAAGATGAACTAGGTTTCGGTTTCCGATGGAGGTTTACTGTATCCGTTTGAATAAAATGATCCGATCTATCTTCAGAGGCTAGAACTCTTCTAACAGCTTCTTCAAAGGCTGCTGCAACATTAGTGGCATCTTTTGCACTGGTTTCAAAATAGGGATGATTGCCGTTATTCCTGCACCAGTCTTGGGCTTCTTCCGTAGACACCTGCCTCTCACTTATATCAACTTTGTTACCCAATATCACAAATGGAAAGCTTTCGGGCTCCTTGACATCTGCGTAATAAATGAACTCTTTCTTCCAGTTGCTTAAGTTTTGGAAGCTTTGAGAGTCATCCACGCTGAAGGTAAGCAAGCAACAGTCAGAACCTCTGTAGAAAGGAGTCCGCAGGCTCCTAAAACGTTCCTGACCTGCTGTGTCCCAGATCTGCAGGGTGACAAAGTGTCCATCCACTTCCAAATCTTTGTTTAAGAATTCCACACCAATCGTATGAAAAAGCTGTGCATCAAACTTGTTGGTGACATATCTGTTCATAAGGGAACTCTTCCCAACTCCACCATCTCCTAGCAGTATTACTTTGAGGAGTGATGATTTTGCTGCCATTGTTAAGAGAATAGATCTTCCTTGTTTCCCACACCTGTAAAAGGTTAAGAAAACTGTTAAGAAGGGAAGGTAGCGAGCAGAAAGTTTTGTATGTATCTAGAAAGTGTTAAAAGTTCACCAACATCAAGCTTCATGCAAAGACAGGATGGCTATGCAATATAGACAAAGTGTAGGTACTCATAACAACAACATCCACTTAAGAATACAACTGTCATCTATTCCACAGACTGCAGCATGACTTTTGCAATCAATAATAAATTCGCAACTGATTCGCAGTGAATGCTGTGGTCTACAGAATGAATTAAGGCCAAATTACAGCACTTGTGAAGTCCCATGACTAGCGTTCATCACAGCATTCATACACTAACATTCATTATTTCCCCCCTTATAAAGCAGCTGCAGCAAATGGAATACTTCTATTACAACTGTTTACAAAAGCAAACTCATTGCTACTAATTCGAATGGTACTCCAGATGCCAGCTACTCAGGACAAGTCTACAATGCCAGTTCAGTTAGTTTATGCAGACTTTCCACGATAAAACTGTCAGACACCTTGGCAGTGCTAGGGAAAAGTGGCTGCCCAGCATAGAGATCATGAATTAGTGACACCAATTAAGCTTTTATCTTTTACTGTGATATTTTAGTGTTCAAGGGCTTTATTCATTTATTTGAGGCAATTACATCACCTGTATTTTGTGCCAGCCCACGGTTCACCCTCCATTACATTAATGTCACCTAATGCTATTAAAAATTATTTTAATTGCTTGCAGGTAAAGTTTCAGTTCAAGGAACCCAAACATAGGTTTTGGTATGAGGAGAACTGCCATTTCTGTACCAACCTGATACTCTTAGGAACTTAAAGAAACTCAGCCAAAACAGGCTTTTGTGAAAATAGCATCTATTTAAAATGCAAGGAGGTCACAAGTAGCCTGGTCTGCCTCCTCCTCTGAAGGAAGGAATGTGGTCTTGCTAGTTGTAATTAGCATTGCTGGCATATACATCACCCACAAAACACAATTATGGAATTAATACCTGATACAAGCTGGTATAAAGTCATATGACTGTGTGCTGCCTTAGAATCAAGGCCTGCATTAGAAACAAGAAATGCCAGGAATTTTTTCATCTTCAGCTCTCCATCTCTGAATGTATAACAATCTACAGTGGAGCATAAGAAATACTTCAGAGTTTTGAGAGCAGCTGAAGCCTCAATGCAAGTTACTCCTCCTCAGATTTGGAAGTTCTTGCTTCTATTAAAAATCTGTTCAGAGGAAGTGAATTTATTCTTACACTGCACAGTGGAAAACAATATTTAAGAATCCTTTGCATTTTATAGGTTTGTATCACAACAATATTAAAACTGCTTAACAATTACAAAAGAATGGTCCAGTTACCTTCCACAGAGCTCGAGGTATGAACATGCACCATGTTACAAACAAGCCTTCTTGGAGTCACACGACTACCAGCAGCTAAGTTCCAGGCTCACACTGAAAGCATTAAAATGCCACAGGTGTTCCCTAATCTCCCCGGTTCCTACTATTACCTAACAAATAAGTTATTTGAACTACTCTATTATACAGTAACAAGTTCTTAATAAATAATGCATTCATGAGAACAGAGGGTACTGAATGTTTCCCCATTTTTCCACTTCACTGAAGGGGACACTTCACAATTAATATACGGCTAATTCTACACCGAGGCTGCAGAAATAGCTTCCCCAGAACCAACAGGCAAGCACCTCCACATGATGTTGCCTTCAATTTATTTTCCAGAAACAACACACTAACAGTTTATGTTTCTGAAAACTTTCCAGTCTGAACAACAGCAACAAAAAGATACCTTCTCAGTCATTTGGGATTACAAGAGCGCTTGAACCTCCAAAGAAACATAGTTAAAGGCATTAAAAAGCAATTTTGTTTCAAAGACTTCACTGGCTGTAAGGGACTACTATGTAACCCTACTGACTGACTACACAATTTACAGCATCTGCAGAAGCTGGATGGTAGTTTTCTGCACAGCACGCTGCTGCATTTCTTTCACTCGAACATCTTAAATGAAGTAAGATTTCCTAAATAGCTTTAAATTGTCCTGTTGTTTTGTTGTTACTTGGAAAGAAAAAAAAAAAACAAGCCCCTAACACTCCAACAAAAAAAAAAAAACACAATCCTCCAGAGGTGTGGAGAATTAATGTTATTTCTCCTATTAATGTACTTTGAACTTATACATCTTTGGCAATGCTTTTGGAAGAGTCAGTATCTGATATGATGTTCCCAAAGATTTCTTACCTTAGCCGTTCAGTTTAAATCATCGTTCAGCATCTGAAAACAAAACAAAAAACTTAAGTTTCCAATGTGCATCTGATTATTTTAACCAACATCAGGAACTGCAAGACACCACAGAATTACAAATAGGTATTTGTTCCAGTAACTTCAACTTACTGTGCTACACAATTATTGTAATGTACAAGCAGTCTCAGCCTGGTACACAGAGCAGTTTATGAGCAGATCTGCCCCCTATTTTTCCATGTTATTTCAATACTTGGTGCCAAACAAGAAGTCCGAAACAAGCAAATTAAAGGCAGCCCTACTGTAACACGTTCTGGTAACCATTTCTGAATTTCCTCCTCCAATTCATAAGGTCATAAGCTCTTAGACCACTGACTTCATTATTGTTAAAGCAGGGAACCATTTCTACTAAATGTCACTTCTTTTAGAAGTAATTTAGTTATTCCCCTCCTAGAATCCCCCTGTTAATCTGAATTTGAAAGATTTTCACTGGCAGTCCAAACACTTGCTGGCAAGATATAACATTACCAGCTATTTCATAAAATGAAAGCTGTTTGCATTACAGAAAGTCCTCAATTTCCAGCCCTTCAGAGCTTATGTGCATTAGAGAAAGCAATGGTGTTTTATCTTGATTTACTTAATTCCATGGTAACAACTTCTTCACTGCCTTTTATTTTTGAGTGTAATTACCTCTTTGAGCACTTTGGTGTGGAGGCTACACTCAAAGAAAAGTCATTGGTTTGGATCTAGAAAATCTTAACAGCAACACTGAAGCTTATTTTTATAATAAAAAGACTATACTAGGTTAACTGATTGGGAAGGATTTGTATATACCAAATAGTGTCAAAAACTGAAAGAATTTAAACGCTGAAGTAAAATTTTGGCCAACAGCACTCAAGTTTCTTCCACCTGATCATGCTTATTTAAAGCTTCATAGACTTTCAGCCAAGTCTGAGAGAAGAAAAGTCATCTTTGATAAACATCTAAGGCAAAATGCTGTCTCAGTTACTGACAGGCAAAATTAGCACCTTCCTAACTGATGTAACAGTCACACTGACAGTATTTCATAATCTCTTAACCTCAGCTTTACACATACACAACCATTTCAGCTCTGAAGACCATTCAGAATCACCTTTGCTAAGCCATCTTCTTTTATTTTAAACCAGTAATCCTTGCTGTTTTAAAAAGAGAACACTTCAATACGTTGTCAGACAAAAATACCTGCCTTGCAATAACAATAGGCACTTACTCCCCCATCCATCGTTCTTTTCTTAAAGTGTTTGGCAATATTTATCACACTAACATAGAAAGAAAACCCCTCTCCTGCTTTAGTTACAATGGATCATTAAATACTGAAAATTGTTTCTCTGCAAAACATCTGGAACATAAAAACAAATCAATCACAAAAACTTGCAAAGCTGCAATGTCAGGGGCAGGGTCAAGAATAAAGTGTTGAAAACTGGGTTAACACTTGCTCTTTGTCTTAACCCTCCAACCCTACAGCAGTTTTATCACCTACTGCAGATCTGAAAGTTTCCAGAAAGGTGAAAAGAAAGCAAGAAACAAATTTACTCCTTTTTCCCTCATTTAGGTAAAGAATCCTTGTCCAGGTACAAGCAGGACACTGCTTCATTCACACTCCAGGTCATAAAGCAGCGTAAGAACAGTTCTCCAGTGGGTAAAGGGCAACAAGACTGCCTCACCTTGAAATATTTTGCTTTCAAATTCAGAGAGGAACGGAGATTAAGGCAAGATCTTCCAAGCTGTGCACTTCTTAATGCACTGCAGTTTTGACCACAACAGTCTTTAAACTGATCTTCCCCTCCAAAAAACACCCATGTAAAATCTGTGGCTCAGAAATACCCTTTACAGTGGGGCACTTGACAGCAGCCCAATTTTCTGCAAAGCAGGCAGCCCTCCAGTCACATGGCCTGAACTGCTGAGATCCCAATCACCCTTCCTTCATCTACGACTGCACTACTGCAATGTGATGGCAGCTAAGTTTTCTGTCAGATAGATAACTTGATGACAAGCTATCCAAAAACTGTCTTTAGTCATCAGCAGCGTGGACGCAGTTTATCTAACATCAGAATAACACTGAAGATTACTCCTAATACTCAGTAATATAAACACAATGTAAAATGGATTGACATTGAGCTGTTGCTACTCATTTGCATGCCCCAAAAGTTGTCTTCCGTGTTTCTTTGGCTTCTTTGTAAGGTTACTTGTAACTCCTGTGCAGTTCAGCAGTTGCCTGGAATGACACAAGACAATGGAAGAGGCAGCAGCCGAGAACAGGAATCCTTCAGCATGCATAACCCTTGGATCATGCAAGCATCCCAGGCCTACTGCAGGAATTGCTTTAGTTACTGTAACTTACATCTAACTGCAAAGTGGATCAGAAAAACTTGTCAGGAGAAATGCCCCATATAGATACAGCCTTCACCTTCCACCTCATTCCTCACTTCCAGGCAGAAGGACCAAACTTGACAACTCTGATTAAATTCAGAAAAAGGAAAAAAAAAAAAAAAAAATTCTCAGAAGCTCACAAGTAAGCATCTCCTAATTTAAGTACCATGTCATAATAGTATTACTGAGTTCAAGCCAACTATAAAGCAACCTCAAGAGTAAGTTGGTCCAGTATCTCCAGGAATTCACAAGATCACATTGACTCTCCTTGCAACCCAATTCTGTTACTGCTCCCTCTCTGTAACTTACCAAGCAGCTAATTACTGCTGCTTATCCGTGCTACTCTCTCCAGTACATAAGTCTCCCTGTTCCTTCAGAGATCCTTAGCAATAGCTGCCCCTGTCAGCCCAGGCTACACTGTGAATTCATGCTCTTCAAACGTGCGAGCAAAGCCCATCCCCAAGAAGGTAAGCAGGCTGCACCATACCAACCCAGACTGCTTGTGCTGGGGAGCACTAAGGAGAACAATAACTTAAAAGAAGTAAACTTTTAGTCCCATAGAACCAAAAGAATGGCTCAGGCTGGAAGGGATCTTAAAGACCACTGAGCTTTAACACCCCTAGATGACCTTTAGGGTAGCTATACTAGGTTTCTTTAGAGATAAAAAGTGACAGAAACGGATTTAGCATCCACGCTGAACAATTCCTCCCCCAGTCTGCCATTACAGCCAACTACTTCATAAGCTGCTACCAAAACAAAGCAGGCACACAAGAAAATCCCCCTAGAAGCCCATCACAGGCAACCGCCCCACGCCGATAAACGGGAGACCAACGATAACAGCGGCCGCGTCGGTGCGGGACGCTCAGCCCCGCTGGGCCATTTCCCAGACGAGGCGCCCGCAGTCACGGGATCCCGCTCACGCCACCCGGCCCGCACCGAGCCGGGCCTTCACCCAGCGCCGCCGGGCACAACCCGCCGCCCCCCCCGCCCGGGGCTCACCAGCGCTCGGCCGTAGGCGGACGGGTAGAAAGGTAACGGCGAGACCCCCTGCACCCCAAGACTGCCGTGGCAGGATCGCGGATCCCTCCGCACAGCGAGCCCCCGCACACGAACACCAGCCCCGTCGCGCCTCCCCCTCAGATACACGGAGTCCCTCCGCGCCCTCCAGACGGCCGCTAACCTGCCCGCGAATAGAAGCCGCCAGCTGCGCCGCCGCCGGGCGCCGAGGGAAGGGAGAAACAACATGGCGGAGAGGCGGGGGGCGGGCAGGTCACGTGAGCCCCGCTTGGCTCTGCCCCCGGCAGGAGAGGGGAGGGGCGGGTGGGTGCGACACCGCCCCTGGGGGGGGGTCTCCGCTCACGTGGGCGGGGCGGTGGCGCCATTCGCCGCTCTGAGCCCCGTTAGAGGGGGCGTGCAGGGAAGCGGCTGTTCCTGCGGCCGCTCGGGATGAAGCCCGCGTGGCTGTTTGCGAACACGACTGCGGGAAAGAAATGTGAACAAAAGCGGTGACTGAGTATTTTTCACGCTCTTAAAGCGTGTTACAAGGATGGGGCAAATCGCGAAATGAGCAGAAATGTATTTAAGTGCATTTAAAGAGGTCCCCGCATCATCAAGAGGAATGGGTGATTATAGGCTTAAGGGATGAGCCTTTGAAACATCACTTTGCTCCGGCAGCCGTCACATGCTTTCGATCACAAGGATGAGGCAATCAGACTGGATCTGCAGCTTGCACAGTCATCCGGTGTTTGGATCAGATGTACAAAGGATTGGAAAACAAGATCTCCGTGTTATCGGAGGGAAATGCCTCCGACTGACAGCAGCACCCAGGCTTAAGGCAAATGTGATGACACTACAGGCATTCTTATGTAACAAAGCTGGACTTTGAAAATGTTTAAGGACCTGTTTCCTGGGATCTGCTTTCATCCGGGGCTGAAGTAAACCACGAGGAAGTGCTGGGTGGGCAGAAAACGGCATCTTTAAATGACTATTCTAAGATATAAGTTCTGATCATTATCTTGTAATGTTAAAAGGAAAAAACAAAACAAAACAAAAAAAAACCCCTCAGCTTTTGGAAGTGGAGGAAATAGTTTTTATATTCCAGGGATGCAACAGCTACCACCTGTATTTTCTCTTGAGAGAATGCTGGCTCTCAGGCATTTGGATCTGTTTGAAGAAGTTTTAAAATTTGAGTTAGGAACAAAATTCTTATACTTTCGTGGTGAGGTGTACCTTTATTCTTTTTAGATAGGAACATGAAGGAACGTAGCAAATCTCAGGAACCCCAGGAGCACTGCTGGTATGCAGGCCGTTCAAGGAAAATAGGCGTCACACCTCAGCAGCAGATTGAAGGAAATGACCATCTAAGATATTATGTGGCCAGATCTCACTGAAATCGCTCTGATTTCAGACCCGGATGGAAACATCACTCCATAATGGCACCACAGGCCTGGCCCCTACATCAGACCCATGGCCCTGGCTTGGCTTTGGCATGGCCCATCCCTGTGGGCTGACTGACACAACTGGCTGGGCCTGCCTTGGCAGGATGCTGTGGGTCTTCTTCCTGAGGTCTTCATCCATGCACCCTGCACTGCCGGCCGCATGAGCAGAATGAGGGTTGGTTTTATGCCACATTCTTTCAGCAGCAGAATGGCAAGCACAAGACAGTGGGGGTTTTCATTCAAGGGAGTGTTCTGCATCAGCAAAGCCCTCGTGCAGCACAGCACATGAATGATGCTTTTTACCATCCGTAACTGGCAAGGAGACTTTGTCCCATCCTAGCAAGTAATGACCTTGCCTCAATAAAACATGACTGTGTCACCTCCTGTCTGAATCACAGCAGCAAAAATAAGGGGATATGATGTCAGCTGCCTTTATTGTCCGCTAATACCACACTTTGGCAAGCCAGCTCCCCCAAGCAAGTATCAAAGCACTCCTTATCTCCCCGAAGGATCATAATTTAACATATTTGTTCCTTATCAACAGTTACCAATGAGTAGCTAACTTTTTTTTGCTAACAGAAACAAACAAACAAACAAAAAAAAACCAACCAACCTTTTCTTTTGTATGTACCACAGCAGACTGAAATGAAATAAACAACAAAAGTGCACTGTTTCCTTTCTGTTTTGGAAAGGAAGAGTTCTAAGCAACAAATGGCAGTAGAGCAATGCGCTACAGGAAAACGGTTGAGGGAAAAACCGAAGGCCCTCAGCAGGACAGAGTTAACTGCAGGGGATCTCCAGGAATGAGGAGTGCTGTCATGAACTCAGCTATTAACTCCCATTCATCAACTCCAGTTAGGGGAATACCTCTGTATGAATTTCATTATTAATTTAACTCTAGACTTCTTCAGAGACAGAAATCTTCTAGGTACATGTTACTTAAACTTTGAGGGCAATCTGTATTTAATGCCTCATTGGTACTACTCATAAGATAAAGGAAGTAGCTGTACTTAACAGTATTTCAGGGAAAACAAATAAAAAATAAAAAATAAAAAAGATTTTAAAAAAACAAAAAACAATAACAATAAAAAAAATAAGCACGTGCTTCAGCCTTATTCTGCATATATTTGTCTGTTTGGATTCCCCCTAATGCCATGCCCCTTTGTGGAGGAGCAGCATGGATATACCTAACAATTAGATGAAAAGCAATAGTCAAGAATAGTTCAAGAAGTTGAGAGATTTTTTTCCCATTGGGAACAAACCTAGAAAAAAACAACATAAACAAATTTCACCTTTCAAAGCTTCCTTTTTATTCTTGCTTTGGGGTTCTGACATTCCCTGTGTTCCAGTAATCTCTACTCTCATGCTGGTGCACACGATGTCTGGTTGCAGGTTGACTCTTCAGAGCCAATTTGAGCCAAAGCACATAATCTTATCCAGGCAAACATTTTAAGCTTGGGCACTTACACAGTCCAGGTAGAGACGACATAACCTATTGACAGACTGCAGCCTGGAACGGTACTTTGCATAGTGAAACTGAGACCGCACCTTTTCAAATAAGAGCAAAGTCTGCATGACTCACCTGAGTGATTGTCTGGGTGATTGCCACTCACATTTGGCACTTGCACGTCTGCAGAGTACTGATACGTAGCAGCACATGACACCACAGGACACCTGTTTTATGCTAAATCTTTTCAGTCATGAGGAGTGGATACAATCACAGATGGAAAAAAATGAAGTGGTAATGAACTGTGTTAGGTTAAAATAACTGACGGTGTGAGATGATCAAGAAAGTAATAAGAAGACTTGTGATTTTGTATTCAGTTTCTCCAATTGCTAAATGCTAGATTTTCACACATCTATCAAAATGAACTAGGTGTGAAACTGAAACTAGACAAGATTTTTCCACCAATGCTGGAATAAGCAAGGCCTTGTTTCCTATATATTTATATAACATAATTACAGCAGGCTCTCCTCATTTTCCCTGCCTCCCAGTGTTTTCTTTTCCACCAGTACTTCCAGGCCTCTGCCTTAACCCAGATTGCAACCTAGTTCAGAAGCAGAATTATTTTGTGCCTGGCTTTAAGGTAATATCAAGAACTTAGCAGCTATCTATTTTATAGCAGTTTAAACAGAACAAGTAACTTCTGGGTAAAGCAAAGGACTCCAGCTTTTCTAGCAGGAACAGAAATTCTATTAATGAGTTTCACAAAATTTGCACACATATTTTAATCTTTTAATGTCTAGCTTTGTAACAAATACAGTTAAAAACTGTTATCAGGTTTGATTTTGACTGAGAAGGAAGGAAATGGAAGAATGCCTGCTTGCATTGGATTACCACAGAAAACTACTTAAAAATAGTCAGTTTGCAATCCTGAGGGTGCAAGTATTAATGAGTATTAACAGCCCTGTGCATCCCGTTCCCCGCCCACCCTGTGGTGCAGCCCCTTTCCCTGACCCCCAGCCGCCCTCCCCTGACGCAGCTCCACGCCGTTCCCTCGGGCCCTGTCGCTGTCACACAGAGCAGAGCTCAGCGCTGCCCCTCCGCTCCCTGTGAGGAGCTGCAGCCGCTGTCAGGTCCCCCCTCAGCTCCTCTGCTCTGCACTGAGCCAACCAAGAGACCTCAGTCGCTCCTCATACAACTTACCCTCCAGACTTTACACCAACTTCATTGCCTTCCTTTGGATGCTCTCTAATAGTTCCATGTCCTTCTTACATTGTAGCACCCAAACTTGCACCCAGTGCAGGAGGTGAGGCTGCACAGTGCAGAGCGGAACAACCCCTCCCCTTGCCCAGCAGTACCAGGCCTGGTGCACACCAGGGTATGGTTGACCCTTTAGGCTGCCAGGGCACACTGCTGGCTCACGTTCAACTTGCCATAAACCTGAACCTTCCAGATCCCTTTCCATGTGGGCTGCTTTCCAGCCTCTAGTTCAGCAGTCTGAACTTTCCCAGGTGCAGAAGCTTTCCCAGGTGCAGAATCCAGCACTTGCTCTTGTTGGTGATTGCCTAGTCCTCTAATTTGTCAAGATCTCTCTGCAAGGCCTCTTCAACCTCAACGGAGTCAGTAGCTCTTCCCAATTTAGTATCATCAGCAGACTTGCTCAAAACACCTCCTACATACAAGTAATTTGTGAGAACATTGAAGAGAACTGGATTTAAAATGGAGCTCTGGGGAATTGCACTAGTGAGCAGCTACTATCCTGATGTAACTCCATTTACTATAACCCTTTGGACTGATCCCATCAGCCGACTGCTCACACATCACTTTATGTTTTTTGGTTAACTGTAGGGCATTTTGTTCAGAAGCATTCTGTCAGAAACAGTATTGAAAGCTTCAACGAAAATGAAAAAGATGTCATCAGATGGCTTCCCTTCATCAATTAGATGTTCTTGTCATACAAGAAAATTAAGTTCGCTAAATAGGACCCTTTATTTATTTATTTTTTTTAACACATAGCCATACCACTTTAAAAAAAAAAAGCAAACAAAGAAACCTCAACCAAACAAATTTCAGTAAATCTTCAAAAATAACTTAGCAACTTTTAAAAGTGCTTTTGCAATTTTTGTGTCTACGTAGTGTCAATATCCGCTTTTACACTACACGGTTTCAAGAGACATCTTCTCTTATCTGTGCTTTTGAGTGACTTCTTAAAGTGAGTGAGCATTACAAACAAATCCACCTGCTGTGATACCATTGTTCTCCACATTCATTACAAATAACAAAGGTCAACATTTGTTCATCTGGATTTGTGTTTCGCACCCAGCCTGGAAGAAAGAGAGTTCCTCTGGCAATCATAGTGACAGTGCAATCAAATTTTTCACAGCGCCTACACTTTATTTTGCTTGTCTGTGTGCCATTAATAACTTGTGGAAGCTGATGTTCTTGAATGGAGGACTCTGTGTACAGGGCCCTGAGCTGTTTCAGTTCATCACCGGCCATTTCCATCACTGTCATCTCGGCAAAAGCCTTTGGACTCAAAGTCCCTGAAAAAAGGTTATGTTTTAAGTTGCAACTTTTAGGGTTCTTCAGGTTAGAGATTTTACTTCTGATGCAATTTTTATACTTTTTGTCATTTTTAGAATGAAGAGAAAAAACATGTTCTTCAATTTCTTTAGACAGCTCTAGCCATTTATCAGTTTCTTCTTTGTCTTGGCAGTCTTTGGCAGAACCAGTCAAAGCTTTATAAAGAAGATCTGTGCATTTACACCTCAGAGCTCTCATGTGATCCTGCTGCAAGCCTGCTTCATTAACAAGAGGTTTAGAACCTTCATTATCGATGCGTCCTTCCTCAAAAGGGGAAAGCTGATCTATGCTGCCCTCTGCGTTGTTACTTACCACTTTTTTAATGGTTTGTGGTGGGACCAACATTTTAGAAGGGGCAGCACCTAATACCACCTGCTGACAAGGGCCTTCAGACAGCAACTGCTCTCCAGGAATCCCAAGATGTTCAGATTCCTCACCCACACACACAGAAACTGACTTCTTGCCTTGCACTGACTGAAGATGGCTATTCTTGTAAAGTGCTTTCCATCTTGATAACAGCTGCTTTGCTTTCTTCTTCAGCTGTGCTGAAGGGCAGCTCTTGAGTACTCTGTATACAATCTTGACAACTTCAGTCTCCTGAAGATATTCTACAGTCATACTGACATCTTCAAGCTCTCTAAGATGATCCTCAATATCTTGGAAATTGTTCTCAGAGAGTAACTTTTCAATACAATGGATTCTGTATATAATATTTTTCTGGTCAGACATTTTTAAATCTGAAATGAGAAAAAAACACAAAACAATTTCTGCAACTAGGACACTTATTACATCATTTTCTTTATATTATCACCAGCTTGTTTTTATCTTGTATGTTCTTTTACGCTATTTTATTTGGATATATCACTGGTTTTTCCAACCTTTTCTTGAAATAGTTTGCAGTGGAATTAGCAGAACAAACATAGAACCCAGGAAGCCAGACCCTGAGAAAGTGTAAGTGGGCATACTAGTCTAACTCAAGCAAGGAAAAAGCTGGCAGAAAGAAGGGCTTGGGAACTTCTGCTGAGGCAAAGTTAACTATTCAAAGTTAGGGTGTGAAACTAGTTTTTAAGGAAAAAACAGTTATTTACCAAACATTGCACCAAGAAGGACACTGCCAGCACAATAAAAATGTCGAATGAAAGCTGTTTTTCTACGCACACACAGCAAAATAGAAGTACCCAGGGAAAGTCTCAGCTACTACAGGAGATAAGTAACTACAAAGCCATTCTGTCAGCTGAGAGTACAGGTGGATTTTGTGGTGCTTAATGCATTAGCACTCATACCACTGGACTACCAAGGAGTTCTGAAATTCAGTATTTTTCACTGAAAGCAACAGATAAACACTCGTTGATGTATAAAATCTGCTGTAAGTTTATACTTTTTCCAAAACATAGAAAGGGAAGCTTTATAGGCAACATATCATCCCCTCCTGACTCATAAAGCAGCAAAATATCAGAGTTTTTACAGGATTATTGTCAACAGATTCAATTTACTAAAAATGCCAGTTCTGGAGAATGTTTGTTTTTCCATTGCACAAATTACAAATGTATTAAAAATCTTGTCCTTCTGCTGCAGCAGCTATTTGAATAACACAATGTCCTCATTGCTGAATACATTCTGTACTACCTTCCTGATAGTATTCAAGGACAGACTTGTAGAAGTAAACGCTGCAACTTATTTAATCTGAAAGTTACAAATTGCAACATGAAAATTTACCTCAAACCAAGCAAGATTCTGCTGCCATCTTTCCAAAACGTGCAAAATGATCTTTCTCAGACAAAAAAAAAAAAAGACTCTAAGTCTCAACTTCTGTGAATCTGTATTTCAACATCTTTTCCCACTTTTCAGTATTTCCAAGTATCTGACTACAAATAAACGTTGCAGTGGTACAGAATATCAGAAAAAAAAACACTTTTTTTTTTTTTTAAAAAAAAAGAGACATCACAATAACTACACCCTAATTTGGCAAGACCTTTTTCATAAATTGTTCTAAGTACTGAGATGCTTGATTATCTGTTCTATCTGTTGTCTTGATTTTAATAAAACATGCAAGTTCCAATTAAAGTTAACTTCTATTACAGGCAGATGAGATGTATGAGGACTGATCCTTCATTTCAGACTTTTTCTTCAAGCTCTTCTTACTTTAAAAGAATAAAACTACTGAGTAAATGTGGGAATGGAATCTAACAAAAAATACCTAATTGATTTTTTCAAGACCTTATTGAAGATATCAGAATTTTCAGGTGTTCTGAAGAACTTTTAAGTATTGCCACAACCTAATATGAGTAATTTGTACAATTAATGAAGAGTAAGCTGCACACATTTTATTAGAAGCTGTAAAGCTAAGATTAAGAACTACTCCACAGTAAGGTTAGGCAAGTGATACTAATGTAACTCAATGTATCATAAGCCCCAAATCAAACTCTGGCTTGTATGTGACCCATGATCACCAGCAATACTGAAACCTGTCTCTGGTTATGCAAGAGACCATGCGTTCTCTCTCTTCCAAAATCATCTCTTCACTGCTAACAGAGTCACATCAGACTGGTAAACTTTTAACACATCCCTATCACTGCTCTTTCCCCTTCTAGCTCTGTTATTATGTTACAGTTTGATCATCAAGGCTGCTCAAAAACAGTGACACCTACAAACTGATTTGACATCAGTGATATCTGCAAACTCCTAATTGCTACTTTTGCAAATTCTTAAAAGTTAAAGACACATCACATGTACCTTAATACTGATACATGTATTGTCTTACAGCAACAGCTTTATTGAAGCATGCTCCCATATATTCTGACTGGTGTTAAATGAGAAGAGAAAAAGACATTTCAGAAAGCAGGGTTTTAGGACTTGAATGAGATTTCCTTCTGATTACTGAAAAATCCTTTCAAAAAGATGCCTAGTGCATTGCTATGCACAAACATTACTAACATTATTCTGGTGCTGAATAGAATTAAATGTGTAGACACACTGAATGGTATGCTGTGAGCATTTGTCCTATTTTCATATGATTTAGTTTTCTGTATCTGCAAAAAAAATGTGCCGGCTGAAGTTGCATGCAAACTGATCCTATAAAAGGTCAATTGCACTTAGAAACTGATACAACGCCAGCTACACACAGTCACATCTGAAGGAACTCACAAGTACATTTCTTGCACCATCACTATTTCCATGATGAAACCTCCCAAGAGAGAAGGAAGAGAGACAGCTGGATAATTTGTACATTTTGCAGTTTTCAGTTGTACTGTGCATGCCAGAAATAAGTTTAAACATTAGGTAGGGCCTTGGAGCTCGAAAGAAAAGGAGAAAGACAAGAAAGTGAGCATCAATTTTCATTATGTTTCTACAAGCACAGACTACAGACCTGGCCTGACCTCCATGGCAAATGCTGTCTGCTTTCACTTCACTTGTCTTTAAACAGCTCATTCTTGCCTGACATTTTGAAGTCTTGTGAGAGCTCAATATTGCCTATAACAGAAATTATTTTACTAAAGTAGTTTCAGAAACAGAGGGAAAGCAGAGATACACTTTTTCAAATATATTTGTTAAACTGCCATAATGAAAAGCACATAGAGTTGAATCCTTCCTCACTTGTTCTGGTATCCAACCACAGAGTCTGTAAGAGTGGAGAGAGTTGTTTTCTTAAGCAGGGTGACCACGGTTACAGCAAGACAGCTTCCCATCTCTCAAACATTCAGCAGCTGACATTAGAAGATGATGATCTGCTGCTATATATTGCTTTTCATGCAGTCTAGGGCAGAGGCAAATGCACTGTTAAATGCTCAAACAGTATAACTGCCCCATGTCTTAGATTCAGCTCTACTCCTTCTAATGCATGCCACTTCAAATGTAATTTTCTTCAGTGGTTGAAACTAGCTATACACATTATGTATTATGTTACACATACTGAAAAATTTACTTACCCAAATGCAAGACAGCCTTGTGTATTTTCAACATTTAGTATGCAGCATAAACAACATACATTTTATTTTGGTTTGTTTATTTTCAGTTTTAGTGCACTGGCATGTATGCACAGTGAGGAAAAGCCACACGGATAGGAGCCTGCCATCTAAACTGCAGAACTTTCCTATCTCCCACTCAGGGTATTCACGACTATGGACATATAAAGAAATTCCCCCACAGAGTGCTTTGGTGATAATTAGTCCATGCATACACTTATCCTCTGTGACAAAGGTGTTTTTGTTTTCTTTTTACCTTCTAGTAGTCTATCTTGGACTGTATTAAATATAATCTATATGTTCTACCTTAGGACTTTTCCCACATTAATGCAGTGATTAAGTTTCTAGAAATTCTAAGATCTACGTTGTCGTGCATTTACTTTTTCAAGTTTATCAAGCAGCAAATTCAAGTAAAGGTTATGGTAGCAGTTAAACAAAACTGGATAACTGAATGTGGGGATGAAAACTTAAAAGTTTAAAACTAATTCTGGAAATTCAGTTAGCTATTAAACTACTCACATTTATGTCCAGACATCACTTCCAAAGAAGTGCTTTCCTCAGCTCGTATGACAAACAGCAAGGAGAACTGAGTGACCTCCTCACTCAGCAAAGCTATGTAAGAGAAAAAAAAACCACATCAAAACACATGACTAGAATAGAATTGAAATCTGTAACTAACTTCTTCAGTGGAGTGGGATATTCATAGGCTGCAAGTAGAAACACAAGAAACAACTAGCAGGGAAACAACTAAGTGAAAGTAATAAATATGCCTTCATCAATGACAAATGAGAAGGAAGTTTCTGAGGGGAAAGCACTTTTGGAATGACACTGGTTTGCTGTGTGTATGTGGTCTTCAAAGGACCTTTAAATACTTAAAGCTGAAAAGTGATACATATCCATAAAGTACTCCACTACCTAGACAATCACAAATTCCATCTCAACTTCCAGTATGATGAGAAATAAGAAACATTGTTTATGCAGTGCTGCTCTGTAAATCAAGTGGCAACTGGATTTTAATCCTTAAGACTGATGTTGAGAACAAGCACAAAGCCAGTACGTTTTGTAACTTCTAGCTTCCTTCAAAGGTTGAGGCAGAGTGCTTAAAACAGAGAATCCTGCATAACATTTCATATTAAGTCAGTATGCCAAGGAAATTTCTAGAACCAAGACGTGAGAAAATTCTCTCAGACTACTGCATGTTTTCCATGTTCTTAGAAAGAGAAACAAAGAATTACTGATGCAGTGCTAACACTGGAGGGCATTTTCTAGCCAAAGTTCACACTGAACCAAAGCAGAGTAAGCCTGAGTTCTTTCTTGCTCACACTCCTATTCGTTGAACACTGATGTTCTGCTGTATAACAGGGTTTTGATGTTTTGTAGCATAATGGCAAAATCAAAAATCTGCAGCCTATGTTCCTCTCCCAGGCACATGAATGCTTTGTAGGTGGAGTTCTGCAAGCTTGTTCTAAGCTAGGCAACAGGCAGATAACCTGCATACTGACAAGGGGTTGTTGTTTTCTGCTGTCAGACATGCAAAAGCACTGTTTGAAACAAGTTAATCAGTAAATAGGGAAACAAGTAAAACAACTCTTGGCAGTCTACAAACATTCATCATTCTCCCTAGTTCTGAAGCTCACACAACGAAACTTAAACACCTCTCTGGGGTGTGCCAAAGAGGTGGTGGATGCCCCCTCCCCGGATGTGATTCAAGGCCAGGCTGGATGGGGCTTCAAGCAACTTGGTCTAGCAGGAGATGTCCCTGCCTACAGCAGGAGGCTGGAACTAGATGATCTTAAAGGTCTCTTCCAAACCACCTATGATTCTGTGATAGTATTCTATCTATATTATATCTTTGATTATGCGATAGTATTGTATATAATTCTATGATCTGTGATAGTAAAGTGTCCTGCCCAAGCTGTCTTGGCAGGTCAGCTGCTAAATGAAGACCACAGTCGCAGAACCACAGAATCATAGAATCATCAAGGCTGGACAAGACCTCCAAGATTACCTAGTCCACCTACCACCAATATTTCTCCATTAAACTATGTCCCTCAGCACAACAGCTAAACGTTTCTTGAACACTTGCAGGGACGATGACTCCACCACCTTCTGAAGGATTCTGAAGTGTTTCACGTTAAGTTAGCTGCAGGTTTAAATGGGAAAATATTTTACCACTTGAGGGAGCTGTAGTATAGCAAACCCATGCAGACTTGTGAGTGTCACATAAGTGCATAATGAGAAAATCCAGCCCAGGGAGAAAACAATTTCTCTATGGCCTTTAGGAAATTTTACATTTTTAGTGTACTTCCTTGCATAAAATTTGGCAAAATAAACTCCCCAACAACAAACAAACAAATAAACATCCTGTGTCCCCAAAGATGCCTGGTCATAGGCTGGAGGGAAGGCTTTAATCCCTCATCCAGTCTTTGTGCCACACACAGTTTTTTTCATCTGACATTTAAAAAATTCAGAATTTTACTGCTTTCCTACTTGATTTAATTCTATTTGGCAAATTGTTGCTGAACAAACATTGGTAAAATTAACTGAATATGTACTCAGTCAGCAGAGTTCTGTGGTCTTCCTTGTTCTGAGAAGAAATTCAAGAAAAAGGTGCATATGCAATAACATTCTTTTTCTGAATTTATGAAATGCATAATAATTGTTCTTGTAGAGCTGCAAGAACAAAAGGATGAATGATATCGTAATTCAGTGCAGTACAAAATAAGCATCCGAATCTCTCCTACAACTACACAAGGCATTCCCATTCTACTTAACTTCAGCAAAGTATGAGAACATCCATCTGAATTCCAAGTGAAGGTAGAAACGGGCTTGCATTTTTAATTACGCTCTGTAATACTGAACTGCTGAGGTCCTTTCTTACCAAATCATAACCATCTCTCACACTTGAATGCATGGCGTAATGAGTCACTGTGTGTACAAGAATTAGCAATGGTGATCAATAGAGATTTAACAAGTCAGTTTGCTCTTAAAGGGAAAACAAACAAAAAAAGTAGGCTACTTCAAGTTTGAAATACAGTCATCCTAAAACATCGTGCAGAACCAGAAGTTTTTAAAAATGAAAATCAATGCATGGGGAAAAACAAACCAGTCTGAGAGGTTTTCTGCTAACTAATCATAGAATCATCATAGAATCACAGAATGGCCTGGGTTGAAAAGGACCACAATGATCATCTAGTTCCAACCCCACTGCTGTGTGCAGGGTCACCAACCACCAGACCAGGCTGCCCAGAGCCACATCCAGCCTGGCCTTGAATGCCTCAGGGATGGGGCATCCACAACCTCTCTGGGCAGCCTGTTCCAGCGTGTCACCACCCTCTGAGTAAAAGACTTCCTCCTAACATCTAACCTAAACCTCCCCTGTCTCAGTTTAAAAACTAAGGAGCTAACCCTTGGGAAAAAAAACCCACCCTCTCCAAAAACATTTGGGGTAAGTGCCTTGCTTCAGCTATGCATCTCCACAGATTCAAAACCATAGTCTACCTTTTCTTAGTGCAGCCAACTTCTACTGATAAACCAAGACAAAATAAAAATGCACACAAGAAAGTATAGAGAATGTCTTGGAAAGGTAGAGCAGGCACAGCATCAATCTTCTCCTTTATCCCTGCCTGAGATGCAGATGATTTTTCCTCAAAGAATTCTATGCGGTTGGAAGAAAACCCAGATTACAGCCAAGGCAAAGATCAGAAACAATCGAGTGTTCCTAACAGTGTAACAAATTTTCTCAAAAAATATGGTCGGTGTTAGAGCTGAGATGGTGCATAGCACAGTCCTGAAAAAACAACCCGATTTCTTGCCTTGGGCACCTAAATTCCTTATACATACACACACATACACAAAGAAAAAGATCAAATGCCATTTGAAACTCAAAGCCTAAGAGGAAATTGGGGAATTTTCATAGCTGGCCTTGAAACCCAAAAACATTTCTGCATCCCTTCTTACGTGGGAGAACAGATTTCAAAGATTTTTGCAATAAATCATACTCCAGGGCTTTGAAATGAAAGCAGAAATCAGAGCTCTTCCTGCCTCTCAGCAGAACTGCCTTCTACCCCCCCCCACAAAGATGTACGAATTTGATAGGAATCCACCTTCAGTGCACAGCCACATGAACACATCAGAGTTAATACAATGAACCCCCCGTTCTCACCCCCCTTCCCCCCCGCCCCGGGCCCAACTGCCTCCTTCAGCCTCACCCCGGGGCAACACCGGCAAGCAGAGCGCCGTGCCGCTGGGGAATACGCAGCACTACGGGCCCCACACCCCGTTACCTCCGCGCTGGGCCTCAACGCGCCGCAGCCCTCCCCGCCTCCCGGGCAGCGCTGCGTTCCGCCGCGTCTGCGAGCGGCGCTCGGCTGTGGGCAGCGCGGCCTGCTGCCGGCGGGATGCGGGGCTGGCTAGGCCGCGAGCTTTCCTCTGTCGTATGCGTTGCACACAGAGAATTCACAGTGGTTCTGGGAAAGATGCGTCTTTCTGGCACGCTTACAGATGTATGATGGGCTTCATTCTCCACGACAGCGAAAACTCGTACGATTTGTACGTAAATGCGCTCGGCTCTATTCGCTGACATGGCCCGCGCTGCCCTCTGCTGGCAAGAAAGGATCCTGCCTTTCATCTTTCATTTCACCAAGGGCGCTTCCAGGCACGCTCTCGCTAAGTACTTAAGGGGCGCCACGCTGTTGCTGTGGTCGCTCCATTCCGAGTATTACACACAGCTGGTTACGGAGTTGAAGTCGGACTTCCTTTTTTGCATTGTTTTTGTGGCTCATGCAGCAACAAAGTGTGGAACAAAGCCTATCCCAACGAGTCCAAAACTTTACAGAGGAGGAGACAGGCAGCATGGCTTTTCAGAACTGGCCCAGACTCATTTCAGCAGGGAAGACACAAGGAGCATGACTTGCCCCTTGTGATAAGTCTTCCCAGGATGGAGATCAGAACAAAGAAGGCCATGATTTGAGGCAGGTTTCTCACTCACAGCCTTCTCCATTAAACCATCTTTGCTCTAATGAATGGTTGTTCCATAGACAAAAGGGCCTGGAGCACCTCTCTTATAAGGAAAGGCTGAGTGACCTGGGTCAGTTCAGCTTTGAGAAAAGAAGAGAGAGAGGGGATCTGATCAATGTCTATGAATACCTAAAGTGCAGGAGGCAAAGGGATGAGGCCAGGCTCTTTTCAGCAAGGTGTGGTGATAGGACAAGGAGAAACGGCCACAGACTACAGCATAGGAAGTTCCATTCAAATGTGCATAAGAACTTCTTTGAAGTGAGGGTGAGGAGCACTGGACCAGGTTGCCGAGAGAAGTTGTAGATTCTCCTTCTGTGGAGATGTTCAAGACCCACCTGGATGCCTACCTGTGCAACCAGTCTAGGGAGACTGCTTTGGCAGGGAGGTTGGACTAAACTAGAGGTCCACTCTAGCCCCTACAATTCTGCGATTCTGTGATTCTGTCATAAAGCTTTCTCAGTTAGTCCTGAAGTAAACCAAAAGATGAACATGATATACTTGTTATATTCCTATACTTGTGTAAAGGTACGTATACATATATTCGTATTTTTTGCAGGGTGTTCCAGGATAAAATCAGTGCTACTGTAACAGCTTTCTTTCCTTGAGATTTCAATGTTGGCTGTGCTAAGTATCTACTTCTCTAAGAAGAACAGACTTCTAGTCAGCAAGGTGAGATACTCTGCCAGCTGATGAATTGTTAAATATCCACAGAAATAGCTGGAAAATGTTGGTTAGACAATTGCTGAACAGTTCATCCATGCCATCAAACAAGAAACCTGGAAAATTGCCACCATGATTACTTTGTTTATTAACTTATATGTACATTTAGGAGTTTGCAGTTCCTTTTCTCAGAAAACAAAGCAATAATAGAATCATAGAACAACGCAGTTCCTTTTGCTGAAATGAAAATTTGAACTTTCTGAAATCTTGCATACAGGTAATGGGAGCAGCAGTTTCCAATGAAGTGGAACTGGGGAGATACTATCCTTCCTGAAGACCTAAAAGAGAACTGGCAAGTGGTCACTCGCTGGAAGTGCTTCTAGTGGGGAAGGCAAACTCAAGTTCTGCTCTTGGTAACGATAGTGTAGATCAAAGTGTTTGTAGTGAAATCAGAAGAGTACAAAATGTGGCTGAGAACAGCTATACAAGCTGTTTTTGGCTGAGAATAGAATCTGTCTTCATATTTTCAGCAGAAAGCTTAAGCACCAAAGTTGTGATAAATGGTGAAAAACGTGCCATTGCTTCCTGACTGAAAATCAAGAAATGGCAGAATTACAAATATTGATACAACAGATACCATTACTCACACAGAGAATTGTAATCTTCACTATTATTATTAATACTTCTTACAGCATTTTCTGTAGGTTTGCAAAGCGTTGAATTGGCTGTAGTGTACTTTTGCATTAAATCTCTCTGATATTAGGACTGTAAAAGCAGATGGGAGAAGCTGGGGAGAGCTGGGGCCGTCTACAGCTTTGTTCCTGCCTCTCACCCCTGCAGAGAGGAGATGCCTGTGAGCACTTTGGCTCCTTGGTGGGATTGCTTGCTTGGTTTGTTCAGAAATATGGAACAGACTCTAACATCTGCTTCGAGCATTTCCTGCCTCGGAAGAATCAGATCACATTATTCTTGGAAATCTAGAAATGATGGAGATTAATCATCAAGGGATGATTAGTTATGGCTCTGACCGGTGAAGGACTTCCTCCCCAAGATGGGCTGCTGTGATGGAAATGATGTTCCTTGAGTAACAGACCAACAGCAAAAAGCACAGAGAGCAGCACTGCAAACTGGTGAAGCTGGTTGCGTGGAGGGCTTCTATCAGAATATTCTGCAGTGGTTTTAAAGGTTTGTTTCCAACTGCTTGAGTTTCCATGTGCATCCTGAATGGCCAATATGTTCATCCCTCAGTCTGTCACTGGCAGGAGATGGTATGTGACGAGAAACTGGATGGGAGCAAGCAGGGTGCGCTTGCAGCCTGCTGCAGCCTCCAGGTCCCACCATGTCTCATGTGTGATTGCCATGACATCACCCCCCTGTAAGCACGCACAGATCTCTAGTTCTGCCTGTTTATTCCCCACGCAGCGTGCATTGCTGTACAGGCACTGTAGGGAAGCAGAGGGTGCAGGAATCTCTAGAGGGATGCAGGAAGGTTTAAGCCAGGCTCTTGGCAATGTTGTCTTCCATGAGGAGTCCTCACAAGATCCTACTGCACAACTGCAGGTTTCTCTCCACAGTTTACTTAGAAGACATCATTCCCAGGCCCTTCTCTGTTGCAAGTGACACGCGGAATCAAAGTCTATCACCACAGAGCAGTCATAAAGCAGGCATGTTCACTCAGAGCTGCGCACCTATGCTGGATGCAGGGGGGTATTGCCTCCTAGCCTGCGTACGGGAGGTCAAGAAAGGCACATGCTTAAAGAGCAAGCTGCTCACATATGCATTGGATGTCCAAGAAAAGGTTGTTTTATTGCAGCCAGTCCCCAGAACGATTGACATTTTTCCTCGCCCTGAGTCTCAGTTCCTTCATGCATGTGAGGCATTTCTCCCTGGTCATCTGGTGGTCTTTCTGATGAAGGCCGTTGTCTTCCTGGCTGTGTACTCTTTGACCTGGGTGGAGTTGGAGGATGCTTGCCTGGCTCTGAACGGTCCTCTTATCAGCATCAACTTCATCCACCAATCCGCTGCTTCTTTGTTAATTTGTGGTTTACTGCCCAGCCTGCTGCCTTGCATTCCAGAGATGGGATAGCTAACAGTGTTATTTGGAGAAACAGGAGACTCGCTGTCCGCACTAACTCTCTAGGTCTGTATAAAAGCATCTGTTATCGGCAGCGAAAACCTGGCTTAGAAAGGTCAGATCTGTAGCTGCCAATTCAGCACCTCATGAAGGCATACAACTTCTAACCTAGCTTATTTTCCTCATTTCACAAGGAACTCCATTCCATTCCTCCATCAAATGTGGTTTAATCAATCTAGCCCGCTTGCTTTCCAGAACACTTTGGCCCCAACTCCTCAGCTGTGTTCCATCTCATGCCCACACACCTCTCCAAGATCAAGGTACACAAAACCTTGATCCCAACACCATCCCAGTAATCAGCCAAGAATTTACCACCTCTATTCTCCTCCTTCCTTCTGCGACCCAGCCTCCAGTCAGAAGGACAGAGGAGAACACTCCTGGTGCTCCCAATCCCTTTCGTGTCTTTCCATGGCATGCAAAGTCTCTTTCTGATATTCTGCCATTTCCTCGTGGCAGCCTCCCATGACCCTACTTGGATGACAATAAGCAGATGGTGGTGTTCTTGTTTGGTCAGATGCGGTGGAGTCTCCTTAACATCTCTGACACGTGCCCCCAGTGGACAGCAGAGCTCTGTGGAGAGGTTGTCGGGCAGCAGATGGGGGCCTCAGTGCCTCCCGGCGTGGAGCCCCCAGTCACTAAGACAACGCCGGGCAACGGTGCCCAGCAGCTGCTCCCTGGCAGGGGCTCTCCATCACCCGCTGAGGTCATTCCCTGCGTCAGCATGGAACCGGAACCCCAGAGCCGATTGCATCACACAAACGTGCTGTGTTTGAGGGCCTGCAGGGTTGCCCTGGGGACCTGCCTGCTCCCCAGCCCGGGGCGTGTCATTCATTCTCTGTGAGGTGACACTGCAGTGTGGTGTCACAGTGGCCGCCTCATCCACCCTTGTGGAGCGGTGGGAGCGGTGGCTCAGTCCGCTTGTGGGACCCGCAGGAAGTGGAACCAGAGAGAGCTTTGCGTCTACCTGGAGGCATCCTGCTATCATGGAGAGGCTGAGAGCCCTTCGAGGTGAGTCTCTCTGGACACCACGACGCTGCCCGGGCACACGTGTGCCTCCAGTGTCTGTTTAGGACGTGCCAGCAGCGCTGTCCTTGCTCTGCCGAGTGCAGCTGCTCACCGTGGTTTCCCCAGCACCCCAGCAAGGGGAAAGCTGCCTCCCCTGTCCCCGCCAACCACACGCAGCCTCGCGCTGTGGAGCTGGAGGAGCGTTTTCCCCCCACAGCTGGCCGGGTGCTCGGCCCTGGCTCCAAGCAACACCTGCAGCAGCTGCTCTGCTCTTTCCTTCCAGGTCTCTTTGCTTGTGTGGGCTGCGTGCCCAGGCGTACGCGTCGCAGGGAGAGAAGCAGGGTGTCAAGCCCTGTCCCTACCTGCGCCGCGACCTTACTGCTTCGGCGCCTGCAAGATCAGGAGGTGAGTTGGGCACATCCAACCAGCAACCCTTGCCCTCCTGGCCCCTCCAGGGCCACGGTGCCGTGGGTGCCAGGCCCGGCAGCACATCCACCGAGCGATGGGTGGCAGCGGGCAAAGCGAGCGTGACTGATCCTTGTCCCCAGGGTGACCGAGCGCAGGCGTACTGTGAGCTGGAGAGCGCCCTGTGCCAAGACAGCAGCCGCCCGCCGTGCGGAGTGGTGAACCGGCTGCTGGCAGAGGTGTCCCGGGACCTGACGGCAGCCCAGGTGAGGGCTCACTGCCAAGGGCAAAGGGAACCGCCTGCCCACGCTGGTGTTCTGCTGGCGGATGGTGGTGGCTTTGCTCTTCCAAGGGCCTCAGGCAGTCTCCTGG